ATATATATATATAAATATAAATAAAAGTCGTAGATGATTGCAAGATCCCAAATCATAAGAAATTGACCAATTCTAATCAAGTATTCTCCCTACGTTTGACTGTGCTTGATCGATTTCCTACAACTTAAGACTCCACGATTATCTACGAATTCTATAAACGAGCCTAGTCTATCCAAAAAATAGGTTAGATTCTATATAGTTCGCTTCTGTTACTAATAATTCTGTTACTAATAAATAGCAGACTAACATCAAACACAACAACAAAATTTGTTGTCACATATTTACCAATCGGTTAAAGGTACTAGTGGCTTGCTAACAAAATCCTTTCTCTCAGTGTACAAGAAAAAACAAATATTATGTATTACCAAAGAATAACAAATGCCAACCTATTCACCTATCATATTGAAAACATTCTCGGAAGTCAAGTAAGACGAGGGATACGCACTTTTCCCTGTCTACACACAATAATAAAATCGCGGTCGAGGCGTGGTTACATACGGAATCTGTGAGATAAGAGCGAAACCCTACATACTTCCTAGATTTTGTTATGCGATCATTAGACGATAATGCGCGACTTATGGGTCTCACGTCCGCGCTTACCAATTTCCTGTATCCGCGAGACAGGTAAACAGGATTGATCACGATTCGGTCGACGTGCATACGTCAATCGGACTTAGGGTAGGATACATGACGAAGCCTTCTCTCGACCTCCCGTCTGTCCTTGTACCTAGAGCACCCACAGAGAAGTGTCTCCCCCTCGCATGGACAAGGCAGGATACATGGATCCAACCGTCACCACGTACGTGCGTCTGGGAAGGAAGAAAAAAAGATCGATCTTCTCGACCGTGGTGGAACTGCCCGTGTGCAGAATCGACGTGCCGCGATGCGAACAAGCGAGCGAGCGAGCGAGCGAGCACGAGCGCGCTCGCACGTCCACGAGAGTGGGAGATACGAAGGTATAAAACCGATCTGGTGGACTGGTGCCAGTCAGTCCAAAGGCCAGATGCGGCGGCGGCTCTAGTCGCACGCGTGCGAGAGAGACGATCACGACGATACTCGGCGTGCGGTACTTTTCTTAACTGACGCGGAACGCGCGTCATACATATATTACATGCGACAGTGACCAGCACATGGTTGTTCCTCCGTGGTGATTCCGTGCAAGATTTTTCGCGAAGAGATCGAAAGTAAATTCGCGTTCGCGCGCACGTCCGAAGGAAAATTAAGTTGACGAGACGACGAGGCATTGTCCTGTTCCGAAAACAGAGAGGACAGCGAGCTCCGATTTGACTCTGTCTTCTAAATCACATTCCTTAGGATATACGCGCTTCATAACGATCTCTCTCTCTCTCTCTCTCTCTCTCTCTCTCTCTCTCTCTTAAATATCCACGAGAAGACGAAGATCTCGAATTTAAACGCCGATAGTCACGCACGGAGCACTCGCGCGAGAAATCGATTCGTTCTTTGAGGGTGACCGACGGTGGGTTTCTTGTGGAATCCATGAATTAGTATAAGGGAGATCATTAGCCAATACGCCAAGGAGTGGTGATCTCGTGAGGACGTTTGACTCCCGGATAACACTGATGAAGATCCAGGAAGCATCATCTTTTGATAACAACTTAGAGAGTATTCTATCAGGGTGGCTTCACGAAGGAACGACGCCTCGTAGCATGTCGGCTATTCGTATCAACGTGGAAGAGGTTTCCAACAGCGGCCAGGGTACCATTAGAGACGTAAGTCTATTGCGCGGCAGCTGTTGCTCGATAATCCAATCCTCGATGTAGTAACATCTTACCTCGATAGCGATGTTCATGGAGGGGGGGGGGGGTGATGACGAAGGGGAAGTATAGAAGGGAAGTTGCAACGTCGCGGAAATCACGCGTGTCTCCCGTTTTTTATCGGACGCTGGCTTTCTATTTCACCGTTCCTTCCGCCATTCAGGTGGCTGCTGCTCATCCTTGTTTCAATCTCTACATCGAAGATCAACGAAGATCAACATAGCTCGCGAGACTCGAAGTCACTTTCACGGTTGCGCGATGAGTATCTCTTGGTTCGGCGGGAAAACACATCGCGATACAAAGAGAATCACAAGCGTAATCAGGAATCGCATCCGACGAAACGATCGGAGCGAACTAATGAACTAATAGGTCACACGCATTTACGAGAAAATAGCTCTTGGCACGGCTCTAAGAACGAGAATATATTTACGCCATTAATTATACCCGCGTTTACTGATGATTCCTCTGCATCGTAAAATAGTCAATGTGCAAGTCAAATTCAATTCTATTCACTGGTACAAACAACTTCCGTCTAGTTAAATTCGAAAAATGTATATGTGTATATGCTAACGTTAGATTCATTTTGGTCACGGACTTCAATTGAATGATTTATGACGGCGAGATCTTGATGCTTGAAAGGTATCTGTTACGCAGAACTACGGTCATGTACACGAACTAAGGTGTGAGGAACAAGTTCAACGCACGTACGCGTGTGGTGAGCCTTAACGGGCGGCGTGATTTTAATAATCGAGGTATTCCGGTAAAAGGCGTCGAATGCACTAGGTTCATGGGCAACGTGTACAACTACACACTGTAGTACCGTTCACCGCAAATAACTTAATAAGCTTGATAGCTATCCAAGTTTTATGTAATACAAAAAACGGAGTTCTACAGCCTCATTACAGTTGGGAAACGAAGGGCAGTATTGTTCCCATGTAAATATATCCCATGTCGAAAGTAACTGAAGAAAATATCGCATTAGATAAAAAGTCTTTCCGAACGCTCACCAGCTGATATTCTACATAGTAATTGTTATTCGTGAGAATCTCTGTGCTCTCTGAGATAGTAGATATTAACTTTACTTGCATTTGAAGATGTAGCGCTCAACAATAGCGCGCGTCACGCATAATTACACAATTTCTCCGATACGGAAGTATCTTTCGACTCTCGTTTAGAAAAAAGAAGTCTACTTTCGTAAGATCACAGAATTTTATTAAAAATAAAATGACGATTTTCCGAACACCCTATATGTTTGATTATTCCGGTTTTTGCAAGGCGTTTAAGTGTATGGCGATATCATTTTCTTTCGGTTTCGTTTTATGTTCGACGACAGACTGCGGTGCGCGGTATTCCGTAACTGGAAACGACCCGATTTAATCCTTCGTTCACGTTTGTAACATTAAGTTTACCTTAGTATTAATAGCAGCTAATTAGAATAATGTCGCGTGCGTAATAATGCGACTTTTACCAGAACTCGTACAACAACCGCGAAAATACACCATTAATTTATTCATGGTAAAAGATTCAGTTTCTCTTATATATCACCGATATTTTTTTAAACTTTCACGCTTGGAGCAATCGCAGAATATTTCAGCCTTATCGCGTATGCATATCATAAAAATGCAAAACGATATATAATTTTTAGAAAATTCCAATTCCGGCTTGTATAAATTGTAATAATTAATAAAATTCTCATTAGTGCCTTCTTCCATAACACTATACCATACGTTTCCCTATCTGTCGATCGCTAATTTAATTCTGAAGTCTCGTTCGCAATTTATAAGCGTTCGTACGTTAGTCTTTTATAACGATTCGACGTTAAGGTCAAAGAAATAAAGCGTGGATGCGGGTGCTGTCGCAAGAGAACAATCTACGTGTTTCTACCGCCGCAGGTTGAACGAGAGATCTCAACAAGGCGGTAAGCAGCCACCTGTGAGCCATTAATCATCTCACGCGTAAGTTCCATAATTCTTATAATTTTAATGTTTACGACTTCACTTGCGCGATTACGCGTTCAGGTGAGGCGCACGTGAGGTATAGCACAGCAAAACATTATCGTGACAGACCTTGCTTTTGTCCGACATAAATTCTTCGGGGTTTTAATTTATGACCGAAGAAAATTTTAATGACTAACGAAAACTTTACATTTCGAGCCCTTTAGTTTAAAGTTCATCTAGATTTTATTACAAGACAGGTTTCTTTGGGTGATGTTTTACATATGAAGCAATAAGATTTTGACATCCCAATAATACACCCAATTGTCATAAATTTTAATTCCCCAGACATTTTGTTCGATATTTTTTTTTTAAATCTCAATTTATGCCTTTCTGGCCATTTCGTCCCACGTTTAACTTTTGCTGTAAAATGAAAAGTAACTGTAGAGTGATTTATGACTTCGTCCCTTATCTGTCGTATCGTACATGTGTAATTTGCGCAAGCATCGCCCTAAATATTATTCAAATGGCAAGACTGATGAGTAAACAAAATACCTAAGATGACAGCTAGATAATGATCGAATCTTAACGCCAACGCCATCTTATAGTGATATCTCGCAATAATATGTCAATCGAAAAAGATAAAGGACTGCCAATTAAATTCGAAAGTATCGATCATTTATTATAATAATAAACGATATCAATCATTAACATGACAGCGCAATGATTCCCTACGGATAAAAAATTCTGTTACACAAACGGCTTTTATCCAAATCTGATCTTTGTTATCTATATGTCCTATATTATTTATAATGAAACAAGCAGAAAATTTTTATTATTTGCTTGATTTTATTATCGTGTCTCAGATTTTCAAGAGGTATGGACGGGAGGAATACATGTGTAAAACGAGTGTCGTTTGCCGAACGACTAGTCACGCAAGGTATAATCTCCCTTTTTTTGCCTCACGGCACGTCTCGAAGGTGTAGAAGTGGTTGCGAAGTGCTCAAAGGCAAACGTTAACTTTGGTACTTAACGTCATTGGAAAAAGAACAAGTAAAATATCTCACGACGAAAAATGCCTCACGTGACATTCGCATCTACATCGAACAAACAAATGAAAACATAATATTTATTCCAAGACACGAGTGAATTCGCAGGGCAAATTAGTCACGTGTAGGAAATTAGCAATGTACTAACCTATCACCTTGTTTAGCATGCAAATTGCAGCGACGTGTCAGAAATGATCGCTTCCTTATGCTTATGTGTTGAAAGCAACCTTTAAGCGCGAACATCGAACTGACAAGAATAACTACAAATAATTTATTAAATAAAAAAGTTTCGACTAATTCCTATACTATCGTATAGAAATTATTCATTAAAAGATTACCAGGATAAAATTATAATCGTTCAAACAATTATCAAGCAATTAATTCTCAACCAACGCGGCGAAGTCAATGAAGAATCTGACGATTACGAAAAACATCGCGTTCAAAGTTTAGTAGTAGCGCACAATTTTTCTTTAGATCATGAATTTTAATAATAAATATATGAAATCATGAATATATTTAGATATAAAAAAGTATTAAATACAATTTATTGTCCTAAATAAATATATATTTTAAAAATCGCCATTTATATATATTTTTAATTAAAATTAAATGTAAAAATTAAATGTTTCGTGTAAAAAGTTGAATACATCCAAATTTTTAAGTATATAAAATTATTTTGCGTTTAATCACTTCTTAAAGTTCGTGCATCTATTGAAAAGATTTCAATTAATTCTATATCATAAAATAGGATCGATGTAAGGACATTAAATTATATTTAATGATTATTATTATTGTAACTAAGTAATATTCATTCCTAAATGAAAAAATTTTAAACCTAAAAGAAAATAATCTTGGATATCAATTTGTAAATTTGATGCCAAGTACTATAGTGCCAGCATCATGCGTTATAACATTGTGTGGTAAAGATTTATTTTAAACATAAAAATATAGAAACTTAAATTTATATAGTTATACTTTTATCTCAAGACAATAAGTTAATTTTATTGTTGATTTAATATTTACATAAGGCTGTGATAATAATCAAGAATATTTTTTATCTTATCCGTCTCAGAAAGGATTAGAAATCCATTTTGAGAGGATAAATCTCTTTAGAAAACTCGTGGATTGTAGATTAAGACTCTTTTAGCCTTACGAGGAACGTCGACAGAATGATCCGAGGATTTCACTTTCGCGTTCACATTTAGCACATGATTCGTCTCGCGGTCAAATCCCCCTCATGCATCTTGCAACAGAATTATTCGACTGATTGCAACATATCGACTATATAGGGAAATTCCATGATATTAACATCCGACTACAAGAATGAAAGAGAAACTATTTACTAAATTCTTCCGTTGGAGACTCAATTTTATTATTAACGAGTGTCTTCCTTTTCGCTATTGATCCGGATTATCCATGCACAACAAAATATAATTGCGCGTCGCATTAGCTCCGTGACGGGATGAAAAATCGCTACACGGCAGGTTACAAATTGGATTTATGTAAGACCTGGATGCAATTCATTTTGGACGCGAATTCGCTTAAGAACAGGATCCTTCGGTGGGACAAATAATTTTTTATCTGTACGCAGCAAGACACAAATTAACACCTAAGCGAGATATTTCATATTTTTCCTTTTGATTGTCAAAGAACTCCACAAGTTTCGTCGTGTAACAAATATTTGGAGAATTGATTTCAAGAGAAATATCTCATTAAAGATTAAAAAATAAATTGGATCAAATCATTAATACCTTATTTTATTATTAAGCAAAGATTATCATTTTCATTTTTTATAATGATAAAAAAAATTGTTTTATTTTGTGTGTGTGTGTGTGTGTGTGTGTGGGTGGGTGGGTGGGTGAGTGCGTGTGCGCGTATGTGATTTTGATCACTAAACCAATATACATATATAATCATAGCTCAAAAATTAACCTTTAAACAAAATAGAAATCAATTAACAATATTTTTTTCA